TCAGCTTTACTTTGGGCCTTCTTGCATACCGCTTTATTTCCATCTTGGAAACTGCTGTGTGCAAAGTGGGGGTTTGTTCTGTTGTTGAGGAGGAAGCGTTGCCCTAGGCCTACTCTTCTTGCCTCAGATAGGAGGCCAGCTTCCCGTGAGGCATTTTGCTTGCTATCTTCCAGGCAGTTTCAGGGGCCCTAGAATCTTCTCCTAATCAGAGTATGCACCCATAGGTTAGTCAGCTATGACCATGCAGTATTCCCAGCTCCCCCGCCCCCCACCGCCATCTGCTTCCTCTGAATATACCAGATTGGCTGTACACCAGGATGTTCCGGGAATCCCCAGGAGAGCAACAGAATGTGATGGACCCAAATACGATGCCTCAGTAACTCATTCCAGGATGTACAAACTGTAACTGTCAGGACACTCCTTACAGCTAATTAAAATTCTTCTAGTTACATCTATTTTCTATTACCTCTGTCTATTTTCAGTGACATCCAAAAGGTCAAAATAATCCCTCTGGCACCACTATTTTTTTTTTTTTTTTGTCCTGATGGTTCCAAGATAGGATTTGGAAAAAAAATAATTAGCTTTTCTCAGTTCCTTATCCGCGATGCTAAAATGGAAAACATGGCCTCTCTAGCACTTCATAACTCTATCTATGGTACTGAGGTGGCCCAAGTGGCTTCTCTGGTAGCCCACTGCACTCTCCATGGTACTGAAGGGATGACCATTTGTTTTAACTTCTCTCTGGGGTGTCCAGAGAGTTCTGTGAATTAGAGCCACAAAAGTTTCAACCTGGAAAGCACCATCAATAAATATAAATTAGTCCACCCCTCTTATTTTACAGATGAATAAGCTGGGAGGCTCAATGATTTACTGAAGGTTATAGGGCTCTTAACAGGCAAACTGGGCCCACAATAGTCTTGTACCCTCATTCCTATTCTGATTCACCTCTCTGAATACTGTGGATCCCAGCTAGGCTCTTGGTCCCACGAAAGGGATTTATTAGGAGGATCCAGAGAATGAAGATTGGTGAATTAAGAGCTATAGAAATATTAAGTGGTGGCGGAGGTCGTCTAGTGACCCTTGGACAAGGACACTTTGTTAATCTCCTGTTCGTAATACTCCCATAGCCCAGATTCCACATGAAAGAGGCACCTGCCCCTTCATGGAGTCTTACCACATCCTCCCAATGTCGAAAATTAAAGAAGCTCTGAACCTCTGGAGCCTTTTCTCTCTGCTGATAAGCAGGGCTGACTCCTGGCCCAGTTCTTTTCTATTAAAGATCCTTAAGCAAAGTAACGCTTGAGTCCTTTTCTTTCTCCATAACCTATTTCAGTTTCATAATGCCTATTGTAAGGAAGTTCTTTATATCACAAATATTCTGCCTTAAGCAAAAGAAAAAAAAAAAAAAGAAAAGAAAAGGTTAGGCCTACTTTGATCCAGCCTGACTAGATGCAATCCCATATGGAGGCCGAAAGGTAGAATGGACAACTTTAGGTCATCATCAGGCCTCTTTCCATGACTCTTAATTCTGAGGTTGCTTCTAAGTCCTAACACTGATCACCTCTCTAGCTGAGAATCAGGAACCCTCTCCCCTCATCCTCTTCCTCTCAGTGCTCTTCTTCCCCAGCACTGGAGCGCTGCACATCCCAGGCCTAGGGAATTTTAGCCTGGAGAATTTTAACCCTTTCCTGCTCAGAGCATGTGCTGAGCCCCTATCTGTGCAGATGGCCCAGCCCCGCCCCCCGTCCCTCACTCCAGCCTCTTGAGCTCAGAGCCAGTGTAATCCTCCTCTTGTGTGAGGGAGCCTCTCCCCTGCAGAGAGGAGGAAAGCCTGCTTCGGAACAGCCCTGGACAAAGGGGCTGAGATGCCCCATCAAACCACAGGCTCCAAGGTTTGAAACAAGGGGATGAATTCTGTATAGTATTTGCAGTTTTTAACCTCTTCCCCAGGCTGGCAGTGCCCCTTAACTTCCACTCCTCCCCCAACTCTCTCTCCATTCCCTCTTGCTCTGGCTCTCTCCCCCTTCATGCCCCTCCCCCTCTGTCTGTCTCCAGACTCTGCTGCTGGGAGGTGTTTCTCTCCCATGCATGAATGAGTCTCTGTAATGAATGGAAATGAATGGATCAGGAATCCAGGCGGAGGGAGAATGAGGGGGGAAGACAGAAAGACGGGTGAGAACAGAAGGAAGGACTGTGGAACCTGGAAGGATGTTTGGCTGCCTGGTCAGTTAGAGGTCTGTGAGAGCAGCTTATCCCACTTGGATAACCGGGGAGCGTGGCAAGCTCACCCTATTTGCTGGTCAAATTGCACAGCCTAACCCAAATTGGAGAGGGGTATAGTGTGATAGTCCCTCCCCACCTCAGGGAATGGGGTGGTGGTGCTGGTAGTTCTGGACCAGACATTTAAACATAATTTTGGAAAAGCAAATGGGTTATCAGGAAGCCTGGTAAATCAAGGGGTATAGTTTTGGAGGACAGGAGCCCCCTCATGCCTTAGGATGCAAGTAGAAAGGATAGGTTTCTCAACTCCAGGGTGCTGAGAATCTGGGGCAGGGGGTGACTCTCCACTGTCGAAAATCGGGGTTCCAATTTCCTCCAAATTTGTTCTCTTGCTTTAGCTCCTCAGCACCTGTTGCCTTCATTAGCAGCTTTTCCTCCTCTTCCCTGCACTCCCCAGAACCAAAGAATGTGAAGGGGGTCCATGGAGGTGAGTGAAGCGCTGGCCTCAACCTGCAAATACAACTGCACTCCCTCCCCTGCCTACTTCTCTCTCCTTGACCTCCCATTATTAGAAGTTACATCCTTGGCCCCAACATCTCAGTTCCCATCCATCCCTCAACTTCCCCAGGTGAGTGGCACCCCTGTTCCTGCTTCAGGCCCCAATCTACCTGCCCTCGTGCCCTTCTGGCCCCTGATGCCCTTGCCTCTCCACTCGTTGCTCTACTCTGCTTGCACCTTTCTCCACAGGGCTCACGTCCGCGCGCTCCAGGTGGCCATTTAGCGCCATCGCCACCAGCCTTCGACGGCGAGCTGGATCTGCAGCGCTACTCCAACGGGCCCGGCGTGAGCGCGGGGTCGCCCGGAATGGGAGCAGTGGGCTGGTCTGAGAGTCGTGCAGGCGAACGGCGTTTCCCCTGTCCTGTATGCGGGAAGCGTTTTCGCTTCAACTCCATCCTGGCTTTGCACCTGCGGGCGCACCCAGGCGCCCAGGCCTTCCAGTGCCCGCACTGCGGGCACCGCGCCGCGCAGCGGGCTCTTCTGCGCTCGCACCTGCGCACGCACCAACCCGAGCGCCCACGTAGCCCTGCGGCGCGCCTGTTGATGGAGTTGGAAGAACGCGCGCTACTGCGTGAGGCCCGACTAGGAAGAGCCCGAAGTTCAGGGGCCATGCAAGCCACCCCTGCCACTGAGGGCCTGGTGCGGCCCCAGGCTCCTTCGTCGTCCGCCTTCCGTTGCCCCTTCTGTAAAGGCAAATTTCGCACCTCGGCCGAACGCGAACGTCACCTGCACATCCTGCACAGGCCTTGGAAATGTGGCCTGTGCAGTTTCGGTTCCAGCCAGGAGGAGGAGCTGCTGCACCACAGCCTGACGGCCCATGGGGCTCCTGAGCGCCCCCTGGCGGCCACCTCCGCTGCGCCTCAGCCTCAGCCTCAGCCTCAGCTTCAACCTCAGCCTCAGCCTCAGCCTCAGCCTCCACCCCCCCCTGAACCCAGATCGGTCCCCGAGCCGGAGCCAGAGCCGGAGCCTGAACGTGAGGCAACCCCGGCCCCTACTGCCGCTCCCGAGGAGCCCCCCGCACCTCCGGAGTTCCGCTGCCAAGTGTGTGGCCAGAGTTTTACGCAGTCCTGGTTTCTCAAGGGCCACATGCGCAAGCACAAGGCCTCCTTCGATCATGCCTGTCCCGTGTGTGGCCGCTGCTTTAAGGAGCCCTGGTTCCTTAAGAACCACATGAAGGTGCACGCCAGCAAGCTGGGCCCACTGCGTGCCCCGGGGCCGGGCTCTGGCCCTGCCCGGGCCCCCCAGCCCCCTGACCTGGGCCTGCTGGCCTATGAGCCACTGGGCCCGGCGCTCCTTTTGGCCCCGGCTCCTACCCCAGCCGAGCGCCGTGAGCCCCCGAGCCTCTTGGGCTACCTGAGTCTGCGAGCTGGCGAAGCCCGGCCCAACGGCGAGGGTGCTGAGCCTGGGGCTGGCCGCAGCTTCGGAGGCTTCCGCCCGCTGCCCGCTGCTCTCCCTGCCCGGGCTCGCAGGCACCGCGCGGAGGAGCCAGAGGAGGAAGAGGAGGTGGTGGAGGCTGAGGAGGAGACCTGGGCCCGGGGCAGGTCGCTGGGTCCTGTGGTCTCCTTGCATTCCCGCCCAGGCGAGGGGCCAGGGCAGTCTGCACCTGCTGCGAGGGCCCAGGCCAGATCGGCCGCCACGCAGGGTACGTGGGGACACTCCCGGGTTTCCGCCCTGCTCTCCTATAGCATCCTTTTAGGCGGGCCTTTCATTTCTCTGGTTTTCTCTCGTTGGCTTTGCCACCTTGTGAGGGTGCTAACCCTGAACTTGTCCAGTCTCTCTGGTTCCCCCAAGCCTCCTTTTTCCTTCTGGGTCCCGAGAGGAAGCAGTCCTGTGGGGTGGGGGGTAGGACACTGGGGACAAGGCCACAGGCCCCTCTGACACCCACTTCACATGTGTATTGCAGAAGAGAACGGGCTGCTGGTTGGAGGGACCCGGCCCGAAGGGGGCAGGGGGGCCACCGGCAAGGATTGTCCCTTCTGCGGAAAGTCTTTCCGCTCAGCGCATCACCTCAAAGTGCATCTTCGGGTGCACACAGGTGAGGGGGCAGCCTGGGGTGTAGGGAGGGGGATGGAGGGCAGGAAGGAAGGTGAAGACAGAAATGCTGGTGGTGGTTGGAGGTCTTCGCATTGACCAGATGAGGTCAGTTGGGAAAAGCTCCTTAATTAAGTCAGAGTGGGTGGGAGAGGCGGTGTATTTTCCTGGCCCCAGGGATGAGGTGTGTAAACTGGCTGAAATACAGGTGTAGACGTGCAGTGATTGTGAGCTTGTGACTCCATCCCACCTACCCTCCCCAGGTGAGCGGCCCTACAAGTGTCCACACTGTGACTACGCTGGCACCCAGTCTGGCTCGCTCAAGTATCACCTACAGCGTCACCACCGAGAGCAGAGGAGTGGGGCAGGCCCGGGGCCACCCCCAGAGCCGCCACCCCCTTCCCAGCGGGGTTCGGCCCAGCAGTCTGGAGCCAAGCCGGCTCCGCAGCCTGCGACCTGGGTGGAGGGTGCTGCAAGTCCTCGGGCTCCTTCGAGCAGTGCCGGGCCCGGGTCCCGTCGGAAGCCCGCCAGCCCTGGGAGGACCCTGCGCAATGGGCGAGGTGGTGAGGCCGAACCCCTGGACCTGTCCCTGCGGGCGGGGCCGGGAGGCGAGGCCGGGCCAGGGGGGGCCCCCCACCGCTGCCTCTTCTGCCCTTTCGCCACTGGAGCCCCCGAGCTCATGGCCTTGCACCTGCAAGTGCACCACAGCCGCCGGGCTCGGGGCCGCCGGCAGCCCCAGGCTGACGCATCCCCCCCTTATGCCCGAGCACCATCAGGAGAGACCCCTCCCAGTCCTTCGCAAGAAGGGGAAGAGAGCTCTGGGCTGGCGAGATCTGGAGAGGCAGGGCTTGGGGGGCAAGAACGGTAGGGAGCCCTCCTAGGGGCAATTAGCTTAGTGAGCTTACCCCGCAGGAGCAGGGGAGCGCTAGAGGTAGTTGGGTAGAGCAGCCAGCAGGGGGCAACGTGGGACCCATATCCCAGCCCCAGGCGGACCAGAGGTGGTGGTGGTGGGGGCGGCGGGGG